GGGGGGGCGTTGCTGACACAAGATTGGAAAAATGTCCATAGTTGTTAAATCTCAGAGACCAGCCAATGGATGGCTTTATATTATTCCCTCTCTACTTCTGTGTATGTGAGAACCGCCACAAAGTAAAAAGAGAGAAAGAAAAGCTCACAAAATGTGCACAAAACAGGTGAGGTAAGACCTCTGTAGAAACATCCAGCCATCAGAGATAGTTTTGTTAAAAGACAGGCTGGCCCGCCTGTGTGGTTCAGTTAGTTGAGTGTCGTCCTGTGCACCAGAAGGTCCCTGATCTGATTCCTGGTCAGAGCACATGCCCAGGTTGCAGTCGAGTCCCCAGTCAGGGGGGGTTTGTGCATGCAGGAGGCAACCCATCGATGTTTGATTTTTCCCTCTCTCCCTCTCCCTTCCTCTCTCTAAAATCAATAAAAACATTTAAAAATAAATAAATAAAAAGAAAAGATACAGGCTAAGGAGGACACATAAAACCATCTAAAGTGGATTGCAACTTATCTGAAGAAACAGTATTTGAACAATAAAGAATTAGACAAAAAATGATTCCATTGAAAAGGGGGCTCAAGAATTTGTCATTGTTTTGCAAACTGTTGGATGCTTATTAGCACTGGCTGATCAAATAAACTTTAGTGAATCCTTCCCTCTATAAAGTAAACAGAAACACCCTCTGTGATAGAATCTTCTTTCAACTTCTGTTTAAGACTGTATTTCTTAGACAGTATTCTTTGAAGACATCTATAAGTTTATATCCAAAATCACTACAGAGTTTTTAAGACTTCCACCCATATAGCACAGGCGTCTTAATCCAGTAGAGTTTATTTTTTTCAAACTGCTGAATGCTTTTGTGGGTCACAACAAATTTTTTATAAGAAACTGAACAGACCAGAGAGGAACAGAATACAGACTGTGTACATCGTAGTTAATTAGGCTGTTTCATAAGGCTTTTGTTTTAGTTATAATTACATGCATGTACTTGGTCATTTTGTAAAATATATTTTCCATTGTGATTACAGTCAAAGTTTGAAAAGGTACCTAATTCTTTAATTTCAATTAAATCAAGTACAAAGCATCATCTGCCCCCCAGGTTAGAGGGTGTATCTGAGGGCAAAAATCCTCCCCAGAAAATAAATAATAAACAAATAAGTGTATTAATGATGACAACTGCCATTATAATAAAGGCATAACAAATTACACGGGAACAATACTGAGTCCAAAAGATGAAAAAGGGAAATGGTCATGATGAGGAGAGTACAGGAAACATTTCACAGCTCTAGCAGAGAATCTCTCTTAAAACGGACTGAAATAGCCCAGAGGGGGAAAAAAAAGTCCTGTTCTCTCAGCTACTGTGAGCTCGGCCCATAGAAAAAGATCCTTTCCCTTCTAAAATTGTAAGATTCTCTGTTCTTACAATACAGAGGAGGCTCTGTCCCAGGGAGATTTCTACCCTGTTCAACAAAAGATAATTGTAAAGTATTTGGCCGTGCCTCATGTTGTTACAACGTATTATGTCTTCTTGGTTGGAAAAATAAAAATCTCACAGCAGCGGTGCAGCTTGTCAGCGCGTTCAAGGCGCAGCAGAGGCTGCCCGCTCCGCAGCTGCGGCGGGCTGGGGGGGGCTGAAGGGGGAGGCCAGGACCTGGAGCCAGGCTGGGGGCTGGGAAGGCGGGGAGAGAGTGCCACTTGCACTTGAAAGGTCTGGCCGTGGCCCGGGCTAGAATTTAACCATTCATTCGCTCCAGAACAAAGTGACGCGGGCTGGGCTAGCAGCCCAGGGCCTACCACTACCAGAGTATGAATTCTAATACCTT